TTTTTATTTTTTTATAATATTTTTTTATTTTAGTTTGTTCTAAAAGTATCTCTATTTTTTTTGTTTAAAGATTTTATTTTTAATTATGTGTCTATATGTGCATATGTGCATACGAGTGCAAGCATGCACGGAGGCTCGAGATGTCAGATCACCCTGGAGCCGGAGTTATAGGCAGTTGTGATCCATCTGACCTGAGTGCTGGGAACTGAACTCTGGTCCTCTGCAAGAGCAGTACACGCTAAGGCCATCTCTCCTGTCCTGGGCATATGACACTTTTTTTGGGGGGGGGGGATAGGGTCTCCCATAGTACCAGCTGGCCTGAAACTTGCTATGTAGATCAGGCTGGCCACGATCTCACAGAGATCTGCCTGCCTCTGCTTCCCAAGTGCTGGGATTAAAGGTATGCACCGTCATGCCTGGAGCACATGACTTTTTTTTTTTTTTAAACCAGTATTTGTAAGATAAGTGGATCTTCATTTAGATTCCCTGGCTAGATCAAAAGGTGTTGTTACTGATGTTACTGAAAACCAGTTATCACTTAAAGTGTGCCCTAACTCCCTGTTAACCAATTGTCTTTCCAGAAATGTCCTCATGCCTCCGCTAAGATCACTTGAGATTCTCACTTCATGCTGCCTTCTTCCTTGTTTTCATCTCATCTCCTGCCCAAAGGCCCTGGTTTGTTCCAGCATGCTGGAAACAGTACTGCAATAAAGGCTGGGATGGCTTCACTGACCAGTTTGGAGATGCTGGAAAGGTCATGTGGGACTCCAGATGTATTAACACTCAGCATTTTCCTGCCTCCTCAATCTCTCTCTCCTCATTGTCTTTTCCCTGCCTGCTTAAAATACCATGAAAATGTGTGTCTCTACATTTTCACTTTGACCTATTAGACTTGGGGTTCCATTCCAGTATCCCTCCTATGGTAACCAGTGACCTGCTCACTGGGAATTCTAACCTCCTATTTCATGTGGTCAGGGAGCCAGGAAACCTAACTAAGACCTCAGTAGAAATCTGTGGCAGAGCCATGGCCATAGAGCAAACACTTAGGCTCCTGGCCTATCAGACACCTCAGTATCTTAGATAACCTCTTAAAAGCATTTGGTATCACACATTACTCATTCTTACTCTCTTCCATGTGGTACGTATGTGTGTGTGAATCTCTCCTCTGTGGTGTGTGTGTGTGTGTGTGTGTGTGCATGTGTGTGTATTCTCTTCCATGTGGGGTGTGGGTTGTATGTCCTAAGAATTATTGATTCTTTCTTCTCGTTGACTTTGCAAGCTCATCCGTGGATGCTGGTATCCACCACTCCAGTCCTTGAACAGTGCCATCTTTGAACTTCTTCACATTCAAGGTACTCACCCAAAAGGTGACATCTAGACCACAGCTACTCAGATACTGACAAATCCATATGTAAATGCTCAGTTTAGTCTTCTTCCCAAGGTTTCAAGGAAAACGACCAGCCCATGGACGTTTTGTTGGACAGCTCCATGTTCCATGGGCAAGCACTTCATGTTAACGCATCCCCAGCTCAAACTCTACCACTGTGCCTCCAGCCTTTGAGCCCCCATTTCACTGCATGGTTCACTGTCACCTCAGCTAGTCAAGTCACTGCGCAGTGACTCTCTTCTATACTTGCTGCAACCAAGACTTGACTTACAATGTTCACAATTTCTCGTCGGTATCCCTTTAATAATCAGAATGTCCATATCCTCATAGTTTATTTCTTTATACTCTATTTTTTAAAATTACTACCATTTGTTAGTATATTCAGGACAAATATAAAATATAATTTAAAAATAATATCCATGTAATAGTCCTGTTTTGTTCATGGTTGCTCAACTCTGCGGCATATGGAACCACTCATAAAACTAGACACTTCGAGCTGCAGAGATAGCCCAGCAGTTATGAGCACCTGCTGTTTTTCCAGAGGACCCAGATACAGTTCCCAGCACCCACATGGCAGCTAACAACCATATGTAACTCTAGTTCCAGGTGATCCATTACCCTCTTCTGGCCTCCATGGGTATTATATGCATGGGTGCACTTACATATATGCAGGAAAACACTCATACACATAAAATACAATTAAATAAATCAAAAAAATTAAAACTGGACACTTGGGCTAGGCATGATGGTGCATGCCTTTAATCCAAGCACTAGGAAGACAGAGGCAAGTAGATCTTCGTGAATTCAAAAGCAAAATAAAGCCACAACAAAAAAAATCCCTAGACACTTTGTTTGGGCTCTTGAAATATGTTCCCACTTCTTGTGTGTGTTATTTCTGGGGCCGCTCAGCATACCCAGTGGAACAGGTGATTTACAGGTGAAACAGAGAAAGGAATTTGAGATGCAAGGGTCAAGGTTCAAGTTTCATTTCTATTAATAAGCCATGTGATATATGTAGATTATTTCCTCTCTGAGTCTGAGTTTCTGCCACAGGAATGTGGTTATCTATTACTATGTCATAGCCTGCAAAGGATCATTAAAACATCTTAGGTGACCCTGGTCTAGCATGGCTTCTTCCAAGGGTCTGTCATGAACACTAACTGGAGGAAAAATAACCCCAACTCATATCTATCACTTCAAGACAGAACTCCAAAAGTATGTCTTTTTTTCTCTTCCAGTGTATCTTTTCCTTAAATCCTTCATTTTGCTTCCCTGGCTGTTAGCTATCTTGAGAGGGATAGCCTTGCCTCCTTCCTCTTCCACATTTCCCCCACAGTCACGGTTGCTGTCTTCACTGACAAGTCGTAACAAGCACACAGTCAGGAGATGAGGGCTTACCAAGGCATGTGGTTCCAACCAAATCTGGAACTTACTTTAGAAAGTAAGGCTACAGGGACAGAAAGTCTTTACAAAGAGGAGTAAAAAGGGGGGCATTCGGGTGTGGGGCTGAGGGGTCAGGGAGCAACTCACCTTTACACTGCAAACCTTGCCGCAAGAGGCCCCAGAGCAAGGACCCACAGTGGTCGCAGAAGGTGGGGACCTTGTAGTTGTGGATCCCGAACTTGTGGGGCATGTTGACACTGAACCGCTGGGAGCCCACCTGCAGGGACAGAAGATACAGTGTCAGTGGCCCAGATCCTCTAGGAAGCTTACTGCTGGGACTCAGAGAAGTTCATCGTCTGAAAGCACCTGTCATTGCAGGGTCCTGATGGGAGCCTCTCTCCTGCCCCAGTCTTTGCTCCTGAATTACCCCCTAACTCAATGAATGTGGTATTTGGCTTACTTGGCAAGACCAGGCTGCCTCCCATGCATCCCTCCTAGGACTTAGGGCATTTACACAATCATAGCACTCTGTCAGCAGTGAGCACTCCACACTGAAGCTACCCATGAAAGTTCGCTGTGCACCTTCAACATGCCTAGGGAAGGGAGGCTTTAGGCAGCTTGAGCGTGAACACCGGATTCTGGAAAGCAGCATGTGCAGCCAGCACAATCCTGACCCTCACTGTCAGTTAGCACAAAATAATCATCAAGATGAAGATGGGTAACAGTGATGGCCGCAGGACACTGAGGTATCAGCGCTGACCACAGGCACCATCACCTTAAACTCCACCACCCTAAGGGGTGGGACTATTGCCTCCCAACTTTCCTGATGAGGGAATGAAGGCAGAGTAGGGTTGAGAAACATGTCTGTAAGATGAACAGATGCAAAGATGAGCTTCTGTCCTCATAAATCTGAATCCAGAGCTCGGATTCCTACCCTCTCTGCTGCTACTTGTGCATCTGCGAAAAGGAATAGGGAGAGGTGGCAGGATGGGTGGGCAGGATGTGGGAGGAGCCCAGGTGCCTGCCCTGTGAACCCAGCTCTGCCATCAAGCTCTAGTGAGGCCCCAGCCAGGCTTCCTGGATCCTTGTGGTCTCAGATTTCTCATCTGGAGAGTGAAGATAGCCACCTCACCATATCTGATGTCATACAAGTGTGGTGTCAGGAGCTACCAGGGAAGAGATGGGAGACATGCAGGGTTCTTCAGAGAGAGCACAAATTACCTCCCTGGGTCTTTTCAGCTTTTCTCTAGAGCTCCCCTCTGAGCTTGTGGGTGAAGCAGCCACATGGTCCAGCCCTTCTCAGACAGAGCAGGACACCATGGCAGACAACACTGACAGGCTCGGGAGGAAATTCCTCTTCTGACTCTGGGAACCAGGGAGGTGGTTGTCTTGGATCACCATCTGACTGGAGAGTGGAAAGGCCCTCATTGGGGACTCAGGAGGAGAGCAACAAGAGCTAGGCATAGACACTGATTGGGGTGTGAACATGAGGGGTGCCTCTGGTGCACACATATATACTTGGGTGCTTCTGCCTTCATGACAAATGCTCTGTCATCCAGCTCCCAAGAATGGCTGGTCCTCCTATTGGGCCAGGATACTATTAGTATCTGCTTGGCCTACACAGGCTATCAATTAGGATCGTGCTAGAGTACAAATTTTCCAGGTTTATTAAGAGCAATTGGGCCCACTCACGATAGCTTAGGTGTGCCCATACGTGTCAACATTACATCTGCCTTTCTAACCTCTAAGGTTGGGTGAGGTTGCTGAACTTACTCTATTCCTATAGTCCTAGAGACATGTGGACCCATATTGAGAATAGAAGCTGACTCACCAGGAATAGTCTCATACGGATCTGAGTGACAGACTAAAGTGAAAAAGTGGAGAAGGTGCCCCAGGTGACCACAAGTTATTATGGGGTTGGAGGAAAGTTGTGTGAACCTCAGTTGGAACCAACGGACTCCCAAGGTATGAAAGAACAGTGCGAAGATGATGAGGAACACAAGCAAGATTACACCAGAGTCAGAGGGAGAAGCAAACACAAAGACCACACACACGAAGGCGGACACGGATGAGTGCACACAGAGACACACACTCTCCTACTGCAGAATACACAGACACGAAAGGATAGGCAGGACTCAGAGAAAATAGACAGGGAGAACAGGAAAGCAAGAGACCCATAGGATTCAAAGGCAGAGGAAAGGAAGGTGACACAAGGCAGAGCATTCTTGTTTACCACACAGAGAAAGGGTGCGACTACCACATGCTGATATTGGCAGAGTACTTTTGCATGTTTCTGTTTAAGACAGAGCCTTGCTATATAGCCTAGGTTGACTTCGAATATGCTATAAAAACAAAGCACTTTCTGACTGAGGGAAGACAGCGGAAACGTGGTGTTTGGGAGTGTGTTTGGAGCTGTGTTTGTGGAATATCTAGATGTATGGACATATATGCATTACACTGAAGATGATGACACAAAGGAACGAACTGAAAAGTTACCCGGCAGAAAGGTACACAATGACACCAAAGGACACTGGCCTCAAGAAGTTCAGGATGGCAGAGGGGACACCAGGATGGGGAATCAACTCCACTATGCTGAAAGTAACCTTTCCTTAGCCCCTGGCCATTTGTCCCTGGAGATCAGGCCACATTTAGGGGCATGTCTTGCTGGAGAATCTTCACTGCTCAATCTGTCAATAGAGACAGAAAGAAGGAGCAGGAGGCAGATTAAGTGGGACCTGCTGCACACTTCCCAGTCCAACTCTCTAATGCGCACAACATGGAGTCTCGTGGGACAGAACTTTTCCTCCCAGGAAGTGAGGGAAGGCTTCAGGAACCTGAGGAAGTTCCCAGGCAATGAAACTTTTGAGATTCATGAGGGCAGGACTTTGCTTCCACCAGACAAGACGCAATGACTGACATGCAGGAAATACCCAGTAAACAGTCAGTGGAATGTCCCTTAGAAGGAAGGAAGTCAAACATCAAGCAAGCTATGTCCACTTCCATCATCTTGTGAAAGTAATGAGAGCCACAGTGCTCTGTAGGTTGTGATCCTAAGCCAAGGCTCAGGGAGCCAGCTGCCAGCTTGCACTTTACCTTCTTTGATACAAGGTATCATGCATCTCATGCTGGCCTTGAACTCACTATGTAGTTAAAGCCACCCAGAGCTTTGGATCCTCCTGCCTCTATCTCCCCAGTGCTGGGGTTACAGGTATATGCCACCATGCTTGGTTTATGTGGTATTGGAGATTGAACCTAGGACCTTTTGTATGTTAGGCAAGTACTCTACCAACTAAGCTATACCACAGTTCTTGACTTTCACATTTAATCAGGATAAGAGACTCCCTGCAAACGAATGTGGCAATCAGGCCTCAGTCTACCCTTCAGGCACACAGAGGGCTCAGTCTAAGGCCTTGCCTCATTCTACTTCCCCGAGACAGCATTAAAAGCAAAAGGAGATCGGAAGATGAGACATGCCCTAGGAGCAAAAGTCCTATTTGGCTAAAGTACTTTTAGGAAGCAGCTAGAAGCAATGTATCAGTCACTTATAACACCTTGAATGGAAAGCACACCTTTGAAATCAACTTTGCAGAGCACAGATGGCCCCAGTGTGCATCATCACGCCTGTCATCTCCCTCAGGAAGGTCTTTCAGTCTGCCATCGCTGCCATCATCCTTCAGCTTCTTGGGAGAACCCTGGCTTCCTTGTGGAATTTGCATGCTTTCTTACCTCTGGCAATTTCCTTCAAGACTGTCTGGCACTAGTTTCTAAGCTTGGAAGATGTAGAAGGTCAAGTGGTCAAACTCTAAAACAGAACATCTGGGTTTGAACGCAGCTCTTACATATAGTAGCTGTATGACTCGAGCAAGCGCTGTGGCCACTTTGTGCTCCCAGTCTCTCTGTCCTAAGATGAAGGTTGCTCCTTAAGGTTGTTACAGATTTAATAATGTATATTAAAGTACTTAAGTCAGGGCATGGTAAGTACCCAATGAATGGTGACAAGTGTTATTATTATTGTTGTTGTTATTATTGTGATTTATTTCTGTCTCCTACGCGCTTCTTTGGTTGTTCCTCATCATCCATCTCACTGTGGGTGAGGCTCCTGCTGTGTGTTGTGTTTCTATTTATTACCAGCATGTCAACATGTCATTTAGTCACTTCAGCTTTAGCTCTGGGGCTAAAGCTCTGGGATCCAAGTGCTCTTGGAATACCGTCCAGAGAAACAAAACTAACTTGGAGCATGGTACGCATTGTGCCTCGGGCCAGCAGGCTGTGGCCAACTCCCTTCATTTTTGATCAACACAATGAAGACAACAGCAGGATCATAAAGAGATAAGGTCTGCTTGGGGACCACATCAGAGGCAGAGAAGGGAGAGGCTGGAGGAAGAGAAAGCCCAGGATTCTAGTGCTGTAAATATTTACCTCATCAGGGGCTTCCTGTTTCTTTAGCCCAGCGCACTTGGTAATGATGAGCTCATGACATCGCTTGTGGACGACGCAAGTGCAAACTGCAAATGATAAAAAACGCAAGAAGGCTGAGCAACAAGTGGAGGAAACAAGTTCCCACCCTGAGACTTAATCAGGTCCCAATGGAGACATGACAAGACCTGTGACCCTTCTGTCACTGCCTTATATAATCCCTCCTTTAAGTCCTTTATGCAGTCCTATTTAAAAAACACTGCTACCAGAACCATGGGACTTCCTTAATGCCCCACAGAACAGCACCAGCAGCTTTCACAGAACTGCCCAGCTTTCCTGGTGTAGTCTGTCAAGGTCAGGGACCAGCCTTCTTCCTAGGTCTCCATGGAGCGCTCTCTATTAAAGATGCTGTATTGTCCCTATTGTCCACTCAGAGCCATGTCATGGTGGCTATGTGAAAAGTAGAGCTGCAGCGGGTAGTGTAGAAGTTCTAGAGCTTTTAAAAAATCTGCTCATGACCCTCGCATACCAAACTTTACAATTTCCATTGAATTTAGTAAGTCCATAAAAAGTGGCCTGTAGCTCTGGCTGAAAGGTCATAAAGCTGTGAGGGTCATCAGTGGTTAATGAGGTAAGTAATTGTTCACATACGTACTGCCATACATCATAGCAACCACTAGCAAAATCATCCTAAGTTTCCCTGAAAGTGAGACTCTCCTTAGACCATGCTGGATGAGGAGAGAGAAAATAGCCTCCCAGTGTATGACCACATCTCATTTCTACCCTCCAGTGCAGCTTAGCCTTGCACTCATAGTCAACCAACTAGACAAAGGCAATCTTCAACACCTCATGTGAACTCTGAGTGTTTGAAAGTTAATGCTTTCAAGTAGAGATCAAAGAGAGTCAGCAAGGACCCTTTGGGGCTACTAACAAGCAGGTGAGAGAGCATCTTCAGAGAGTAGGAGGAGAGGGAGCTGGGAGGACACACAGACCCAGGCAGGACAAGGAGACTCCAATGAGCCCCTAATTGAAGGGCTATGGCTTTGTAGAAAAAAAAAAACTAAGCACTACTGCTGGCAGGGGGCAGGGGAGGGGGTTTGTCTTACTAGGATGCCAGGAGGTAGGTGGTACCTTCAAGACACATATCATATGTGTATATAAGAGTAATGGTCAGGCAGGGATAAAGTAAGCAAGCTCTGCTTCTTGGAGAAGGAGGACAATTAAACTGCACAGAGCCCCCAAATGTCACCAAACCTAGCACATATCTCCCAGAAGGGATCATGAGCTTAACTTAAACACAGACCCCCACACTGAATTCAGGAAATACCTCTTACCTTGACATTGGTAGCCCTGCTTTCCTATGACACCCCTGAAAGGAAGAATACAATTCTTTCAGAAAAGGAAATTTTGTTAGGTCAAAATAACAAACACACAAAGTCACCCATTTCTGGCTACCATCCATGTTCCACTGAGTACCGTGGAGTCCGCTAAGAAGTATGATTTCACTGCCACCTGGAGTGAAATGTCTTAAATATGCCTTTCAAAAGAAGGCCACATGGGGCAGTTCATGCCTGCCAGCATCAAGACTTGGTTTCTTGTACAAACACCCACACCAGTGGGGGCAGCATAGTTCTAGAAAGCTACAAACGATCCTGCTTGCTCTGGACAGACCTCAGTCAATTCAAACAGTCCCCTCCTTGTGGATAAAAAAGCATTTCTCAACTCCTGGCACCAGCACATGCCCAGAGAAAGCTCTCTGATGGCAGGTAAGGGCTACAACCTGTAGGTATATACCCTGGGCATTCTAGAACCTGCCAAGAATAATGGGCAGCAGGCAGTCTATAGTCAGATCTGAGGGGTCAGTCAACCATTAAAGGTTTCTTCCATAACCACAGGAGAGTTTCTGGAGAAGGTTGGAAGTCAGCCTGGAAACAGAACAGCCAAACTACAAAGCCATACCCTTGTCCTCAGTGTATGTGCAATCTACATGCCCCTGGCTACATTCATACTGAAACTTCATTTGTTTTCCCTCACTGGATGTGTGAACATGTTGGAGAGCTCCCAGCAGTCCTCTGCCCAGCAGGAGGAGCTATAAGTCTTTAGACCATTCTTAGGAACTGGAACTCAAAGATGTTCACCACCGGCTGAGAGGAGACTCAACCTGTAAGACCAGTCACTCACTTTATAACTAAAATAGGGACATGGGGGTGAGAGAGAGAAGTGTGAGCCTTTAGTTGGGCTCCTCTGGCATGCCTCTTAGACTTTCCAGACAGTGGACATTAGATTTGTCCTTTATTTCCATTTCTGAGCATAGGCATTGCTAGTAGAATGGGGTTAATGTACGTATTTCCTATGAGAGGGGAGTAGATTTCATTAGATATTTCTGGTGCCACAGATAGGACTCAGCAGATGGTGGGGTTTCATTAAAATTCCAGTGCTTGAATCCTCAATCACAAAAAGGCCGAATGCCTTACTTCATCAAAATCCCAGTCATAGAAGAAGAAAACACCCCCTCCCCCAGGCAGCCTTCCCAGACCACTCCAGATGCCGCTGCTTTCTGGCTCTGTTCCTCTGTAACCTCAGCATCTAAGGGCAATGTTAGACCATTTACTGATGATTGCACTGTGTTATAGATGTTGGTCCCTAAGTATTTTTTAAATTTCCTCATGAAAAGTTTCAAATCTCTACTAACATAAACTGAGGAATGTAATCAGCTCTTAGTACCCATTAAACAGCTGCAGTGACCCATCTCTATTTTGCCTCAACCTGTGCTCTTCAGGTCCCCTTCTAGGATTATAGCTTCATAAATCCCAGATAGCACAGTTCATAAATCCCAGATAGCACAGCTTTTCTCACTAAAAGACAAAGGTCCTTTTAAACACACACAATCACAATGTCACTATTAGTTATAAAGTCCTAACTCCTTAAATATGATGTAACCCTCAGTATGAAGTCACCAGGAGCCAATTTCTTCTTCCTATTCACTCCCCCGTGTACCACACAACACATAGAACTTTCCAGAAGTCTTCAACAGGTGAGAAATAAATAAACCACATCAGCATTGCTCACCTTTTATTTTTATTTTTTCAATATACATAATAAAATTCATTTTTATCTGAAATAGATTCCAGGAAAAGTTTTAAAGCTAAAACTCCTCTACAAGCTATTTTACTAAAGGGAAGCCTTACTGTTAATATCAAATCCTTCAAGGCTTATGTCAGCTTTGTACTGTGATGAGAGTCAAGGAAAGCAATAGTTTCCCCATGTTCAGATCTATTTTTAAAATTTTAAAATTGGAGTTCTAAAATGATGTCAAAATGACAGTATGGAAATGGCCTCCAATGTTAACATACAGCACACTTAAACTTTTATTAGAGAAATCTCTCCTTTGTTTCAAATTAAACTACAGTGATGTTCCTGTCTAAAAGATCACTGTCTCATCTACCACATTCATGAGAAACTCTTTCACTCATACCCATACTTTTAACTGAAGTTTATGATCCTCGACCCTGTCCCCAATGTCTTGCCACAGAAAGTCATAACTAGAGGTCCTAGAGCAAGGGACTTACCAGATGAAATCTCTGCAATGGGAGCAGTAGGTGGGCTGCCGAAGGTAGGTGGCCATGAACTTGTGGCCATTGACCTGGTGGACCCTGCGCCTGACAGCCCCTTGTCGCTTCCTTGGCCGCATCCGTTCCCTGAACACACGTTCTTCATTGTCTTTAGGTGCTGGTAAAAGACAAGAGCAGAAAGGAAAACGGTATGGGTTAGTGTACCTTAACCCTGACTTCCAGGTGGGTGGTGGGCTGCATAGGAGGCAACCTTCCTGCTCCCAGGGGCCTTGAGGGTTCTGAAGAGTCTCACTGATCAGCTAGAGAAAGTGAGTGCATGGGGTGAGTAGACCCAGGCTTCACATCTTTCCAAGTCTACCTGCATCCTCAGAATCCATCCCAACCCAGACTCTGCCCCCCACAAAGCTGTTCTTCACCTATGTGCACATTGAAGGCCAAGGGTGTCAAAAGACCTTATTTACCTTCCCTCCACCTCTGAGATTGTCCCAAATCTAAGAATACCTGGCAAGGGGTACTAGCAGCTGAAAGTAAAAACAATAATAATGATTGTTATAGATTGCATTTTTATTCCCCCTCATTAAAGCCCTAAGCCCCAGTGCAATGCTATTTGGAAATGACCCTCAGGAGGTAATTAGGGTTGGGGAGCTCATGAAGTTGGAATTTCCCAGTCCCTACGGTAGAATAAGCATCCTCATAGGAGGAAGAGACCAGTGAGCTGCTCCTCTCATGAGCACACAGTGAGAAGGCAGCTGATTACAAAAGAGGAAAAGGGTCCTTACCAGAACCCAACCATGCTGACATCCTCAACTCAGGATTCCAGACTTTCAGAATGGTGAGAAACATGTCTACTGAGTGATCCACCCCATCTGTGGTATTTTGTTATGGTACCCTGAGCTAACACAGTGGTAATGGCTAGGAGGCCTCCTCTGGCAAGTTGCTATGCTAAGAACATTACATGTAATGGCCCACTGAGTCCTCATCATGGCTTTGCTTTAAGGGCACTATTATCTTTACTTCATACTTGTGCAAGGTAAGAATAGAATGTAACTAATGTGATCCTGTTAACATGGCTACTAAGAGCTGGAGTCCAGACTCAAACCCACATGGGCAGCCAATGTCCCACTGTACACACACTGTTCTGAGGGATAGCCCATACTTCCACAGGAAGCTCACATACTTCCACAGGAAGCTCACATAGGGTAGAATTGCCTGTGGCTTTCCTGGGAACTGAGTGGATGGGTTTTGTGCCTCCTGCTAATCTTACATCTTTTCTCAGGCAGTTGCATGACACAGTTTATAATCCTGGGCGGGGGGCAGGACTCTGGGCCTCAAAACACCTGCCACACCAATCATGCCTGATATTACACCAAACCAGTACAAGTTCTGAGGAAGAAAACTTGCTACTTTCCTTATTTCTCTAAAAACAAGATGCCCTGTGGTAGGGTCACATATGTGACCCAAATAGCTGTTTAATACAAGGGCATCATGTTAGGCCACTGAAGATGGAGAAAAAGTAAAACTGAGAGAAAAAGAAAGTCTGGGGAACAAACACCCAGATGTGCTAGGAGGGAGATGCAATCCCCAGGTATTTACGCTGATTTACTGGAGCAAGATGGTGACCAATGCATTCAGCTGCATTTATTTTCAGCCACCTCTTGGAGGGCTGACAAATAGCTGGTGAAAAGCCCTTAAAAGTTGTGGAGGTGGGTGGAAGAGAGGCCTCTCTGCGGGTCAGGAGGGCAGCTGAGGGTCACTTTTATAAGTTGGGGGCCGAGTGGAACTTCCTCAAAGGTTTCACTTATTCTTGACCCTCAGCATATCTGTATTGCCTTTGGAGTTAGATTTTACTTCAAATGAATGGGCAAACAAGTAGCCATGGAGGATCATGCCTGTAATCCCAGCACTCAGGAGGCCGAAGGAAGAGGATTGCTTTAATTTAAGGCCAGTCTGGCCTACAGAGTTAAGACCCTGTCTAATTTTGTGTGTTCACCTTGGAGGAGCTGTGAAAGCCATGAAATTAGAAAGAGGTCATTGTTGGGGGGATGCCTCTTAAGTGAGGTGGGATAGTGGGACATAGGTAATATGAAAGTAGAGAGGGCGAATATTAGGGGCTTAAGCAGAGAGGATGGGGATAGGAAGATGGGGAGACAAGGAAATTAACCAGATGAAGGGTATATGGAAAAAAAACATGGAAACTACTACTGTGACTACTTTATAAGCCAATTAAAAATATGAGGGGGGTGATATCCTGTATGGCTGGATAAGGCTGCTCCTAAAAGGTATGGGTTATTAAACAAAAATCCCAGTGCCAGATGTTGGATATCACCTTAAGAGTTATTGGTTAGGGAGGCCCCAAGGCCCCATACCCCCCCTTCTCCCCCCAAATTATAGACTCTTTCCATTCCATTTGATTGCTATCCAACATTAGTTGATAAGGCTTTATTGCTGAAGCTCTCACAAACCTTCATTTCAAGATGTAGTGAAACCAACCTGGAACTGAGCTAGAAGCTTCCTTCCTGATGGCTAGTTTTCCTAGTCCTAGAAGGTGCTATGCAGGCCTCTGGGAGATACAAGGCACCAATGGTCTTGCCCAGCTGTGAACACTACAAACTACAATGCCAATCTTCCAGGCAAGATGTGCTCACTGGTGAAATTATGGCATAACTGCTATGGGAGTAAACAACAGCTCTCCGATTGGATTTGAGCTCCACTCCAAAGGAGGGAATTCATACCTGGTACTGTAAACCCAGTCAAAAACCCATAGCTGAGGAGGTCCTAGGCCCTGGACACAGGAATTTATTACTGTTGTTTAGTAACACGGTGCCAAACTACCTTCTAAATATTTATGTTTATGTCAATAGACAAAGGCTGCTCTCAGCCTTAATCAGAGAAGCTTCTCTTTACAATCAAGGATGGTGAACACAGAGACTCACGGCCAGCCAAGGTGTTGAGAATAAATGACAGTTAAGTGCTCAGCTTAAATAGGACATTTATGCCACTCCCTCTAAGGCTTGGGGATCATCCTGGAAGAGGGGAGAGAAAAGTATGGAAAAGGGGTATAAAATTGTGGGCAGGATGTAGCCATGGCAATCATGATCTCACAGCAACTATGACTGCCTGCCCTGGGCTAGCCCAAGACTGGGCCAGTCAATCATGGAGGAGTTCACAGGGGTTCTACTCTTCACTACTAAACTATTGGATGCTGATAGATTCTGGAAGAGAAGGAGTCATTGTCTTCCATTGCATACCCAATAATGAGCTGAGAAGGCTCCAATAGATAGTTCCAAGCCCAGGGTCACACAGAGGGCCCTGGTTAGACCCAATGGGTCATAAAACAACACAAAAGACATGAATGTAAGAAAGGGACTTGTTGGGAGAGGGGACTGACAGAATGGGAGGGAGATAAGAGAGCATAGGAATGAGAGCAATGAGAATACTTTTATATACATGTATGGAATTATCAAAGAACAAATTGAATAAAAGTTATTTTTTTTTAAGTATAGGGAAACACGAACCAAGCAAGGTGGCACATGCCTTTAATCCAAGTACTCGGGAAGCAAAGGTGGTGGAACTCTGTGAGATCGAGCCCAGCTGGGGTTACAGGGAGACCCTGTCTCAAACACAAACAAGCAAACAAACAAAAACAAAACAAAACAAAAACCCAAACAACAAAAAGTATAGGGAAACAAAAGGTCATAAATGTAAAAGAGCCCAGGGAATCTTTATGTTCTAAATGAGGCTGATGTAGGAAGCTACCCACAGGAAACAGGAGAACAGGGATTGGAGTCCACACCAGTGAGAACACAACTGTCCCACATTCCTCTTTACAGAGACAAGGACTAAGTCAGAGGACTCACAACCCAGTCACCCAGAGGCAGAAAGGGAAGTGGCCCCTTGGTTCCTCTGGCATTCATTCCCTCCCCAAGAATTCCCACTGGGCCCTAGAATTTACCACCAGTGACAGAGCTCTTTTGTGCTTTCACTGCTGCAAGGGTCTCTGAAAATTCAGTGTGGGCTTTCTATTCTATTACAGTAGGCTAAAGGTCTGTTTTTATGCTGGTACTGTACAGTTTTAATTACTGAAGCTTTGTAATATATTTTGAAATTGGAAAATGTGATGGTCCCAATTTTATTCTTTTTGCTCAAAATTGCTTGAATTATCCAGTCTTTTGTGTCCAAATAAATTTTGGGTTTTTTTTTTCTGTTTGTGTTTTTTGTTGTTGTTGTTGTTGGTCTTTTTGAGACAGGGTCTCCCTGTAGCCCCAGCTGTCCTGGAACTCACTATGTAGACCAGGCTGGCCTTGAACTCACAGAGATCCGCCTGCCTCTGCCTCCCGAGTGCTGGGATTAAAGGCGTGCGCCACCACGCCCAGCTCTGTTCGTGTTTTAAAAAATGCCTTGGAGATACTGATAGTAATTATGTTAAATTTGTAAGTGACATAGGGAAGTTTGGACGTTTTAAAAATAATTTTTCGTCTAAATCATGAAGAGTTACTTGTTTTTCAACAGTAAGGCAAGCACTTACAATGGAGAGAGAATAGTCTCAGTAAATTATATTAGGGAACTGGATATCCACATGCAAATAAGGGAAATTGGGTGCCATCATAAACATCAACTCAAAAATGGATTAAAGATTTAAGTAACCCTTCAGATCACCAACCTTCTAGAAACATAAGGAAAAGTGTCCTTGGCATTTGGTCTTGGCAGTGATTTTTTTTGTATATCACAACAAAAAGCTAACAAAAGCAGAAATTGATACGTGGGGCTACATGAAACTAGAAAACCTTCTCACAGATAAAGGAGCCATCAACTGAAAGGACAGAGTGCAGAATGGAAGAAAATAATTATAAAACACAGCTTTGATAAATTATTAATATCTAAAAAAAATAAGGACCTTCTACAATTCACCAGCAAAAAACCAAATTACCCAATGTAAAAATAGGCAGAGGGACTGAACTGACAGCTCTCCAGAGGTCATTCAACTGGTCAAGAGGTATACAAAAAGATGTTCAGTGTCACTAAATATCAGAGCAGTACACGTCAACATACAATGAGGTATCACTTCAGACGTGTTAAGTTGGCATCAGTCTAAGCAAACAAATCCAAACTAAGTAAATAAATAGTTGGCCAGAAAGTAAAAAGACTCTTTGGACACTG